TATGCCAGAGGTACCAGCAATTCCCTTGGTTATATAAGAGTACGTTATAGTCTAAGCAGCCCTTACTCGTGTACTTACGCTGCGTGAAGCTATTCCCAGATATCTCGCCTAGTGCCTTGCGGGCCTTTAATGCCCTTGTGTTATTATAATAAGAATAAGGGGAATTAACCTTCCGTGACCCCTTTGTATAGTGTTCCTATGGGATAGAGGTATTCCTTTTATCTATAGCCCGTCTAGGCCGTGACCTCTGCCGCCCTTGTGCTAATGGTCTAAACTGCTAGATAAGCTGGGCTGTAAGTAGCTGACGCCAGCGGTATGTTACGGCCAGCTAGTCGTAGTGAGGTATGTTTGCAGAAGTTGAGGCTGCGGAACTGGTAACAGTAATCGTAGTCGGGGATAGCTTCAGGGAAGCTATGTCTGTAAGTCGTAAGGTAAGGGAAGGCTGCGGTGATCAATCGTAGTCTTATCAAAGAGGTTCTCAGGGAAGATAGCTGAAAGCGATCATAAGATCTGATACGAAGTTAATTGCTGAAGAGCTATGGAAAGTCTGTCCTAGAGTCCGGCTCGAGTCCATCCTATATACAAGTCCTGGTCCTGAACATATCCCTTGTCAATGATCAGTTCCTCTGATCGGGTGAGCGCTCATTGTTTGGCATGAGCGCTCATGGCCCCACCATGGTCGCTCATGTCTTATCTTATCATCACGTGACCTGTACCATAGTTCTTCCGTTCCGTGAGAGGGTGCCTAGTGTCCCTTATCTCCTGCAAGCCTTTGCCAGAAAATGGCTGTCCCAATGCCCTCGGCAATATGCCGACCTCGAGATAATTCTTCACCCCAAGCCGCCCGAACTCCGCCTCCCTCGGCACTTACTAGGAAGGCTATACGCAGCAAGATCCCATCATGGAGACTTTGCAGCATACCACGAGAGATTCGCTCATCAAGATGCGTTGCTCAACTGCAGCTGTGGGAAACCCAAGACACCAGTCCATTTCTACTTCTGCAAGCGTGGACGCAAGGCTACACCGCGCTACCTCCGCCAACGTATGGCTAAAGCAAGTATTGATTTCTTGTTAGGTTCTGCTAAGGGAGCCTCTCTTCTATGCGAATGGATAGAGGAGACCAATTTCTTTTCCGAAATTTGCCCGAGTCATTGAACAGGAACGTTAGGTGAAGACGGTAGCCTGTAATATAGTTTAGATTAGTATAGACCATGTCGGCATTGCGCCCGGCACGTCCTTTTGTTACCAGACGTTAAATACATCATCATCATCATCATCATCTTATCTCCTGCATATGTGGTGTGTTGTAACCGCCGCGAGCCTGCGGGGCAGGCCCTGTTCTTGGTCATGCATGTTGGGTCGTAACAATACCCCTCTATTAGGAAGCTATCCGATCGCGACTTATAATAACCAATTATTATATTAGATTATTATATCTAGTTATACTATAGGCCGGAGCCGGTCGAGATGTGTGGGCAGTACACACTGCACATCTGGACCAACGAGGCAAGCAATGAGGCAATACGACTGGTATTGACGGTTGGTTGGTGATGTTGTGGTGAAGGTGGCTGCGGTGGGCTGGATCAACCAGGAGGTGGATCAGGCAGCTGGTGCCTGGGGCACCAGCCACTGCCTCAGGTATCCACAGTCCCACAAGATGTCCGGTTTTACCAGAGCTACTATTCTACCATAATATACCGCCGAGCCTAGGCACATTATATTATAGCTATATGCGAACCCCTATAATTCCTTCTTTTTCTCCTTAACTTAGAATAGTTAATCGACGGCACCTCTACGTTAAACAAGCCTAGGGGCCAGCCCTTTATAATAGCTACCTGTTACGGCCAGCTAGTTGTTACGGCCAGCTAGTCGTAGTGAGGTATGTTTGCAGAAGTTGAGGCTGCGGAACTGGTAACAGTAATCGTAGTCGTGGATAGCTTCAGGGAAGCTATGTCTGTAAGTCGTAAGGGTAGGTAAGGCTTCGGTGATCAATCGTAGTCTTGTCAAGGTAGTAGCTGAAAGCGGATGTTAATCCTGATACGAAGTTAATTGCTGAAGAGCTATGGAAAGTCTGTCCTAGAGTCCGGCTCGAGTCCATCCTATATACTAGTCCTGGTCCTGAACATATCCCTTGTCAATGATCAGTTCCTCTGATCGGGTGAGCGCTCATCGTTCGGCATGAGCGCTCATTGTTCGGCATGAGCGCTCATTACTTGGCATGAGCGCTCATGGCCCCACCATGGTCGCTCATGGCCCCACCATGGCCGCTCATGTCTTGTCTTATCATCACGTGACTTGTACCATAGTTCTTCCGTTCCGTGAGAGGGTGCCTAGTGTCCCTTATCTCCTGCATATGTGGTGTATTATAACCGCCGCGAGCCTGCGGGGCAGGCCCTGTTCTTGGTCATGCATGTTGGGTCGTAACACTAGTCGTAGGGGTAGTTTGCAGAAGTTGAGGCTGCGGAACTGGTAACAGTAATCGTAGTCGTGGAATAGTTTCAAGGAAGCTATGTCTGTCAATCGTAAGATAAGGTAAGGCTTCGGTGATCAATCGTAGTCTTGTCAAGGTAGTAGCTGAAAGCGGATGTTAATCCTGATACGAAGTTAATTGCTGAAGAGCTATGGAAGTCTGTCCTAGAGTCCAGCTCAAGTCCATCCTTATATACAAGTCCTGATCCTGAACATGTCCCTTGTCCCTTGGGTCGTCTTGGGTCATTCTGATCCAGAATGATCGTTTAGCCCCCAAGTCGTGTTGGATCATATTGATCCCAAATGATCCTTATCTTATCATCACGTGACTTGTACCATAGTTCTTCCGTTCCGTGAGAGGGTGCCTTGTGTCCCCTTGTCCTGTGCATGTATGGCGTATCGTAACCGTCGTAAGCCTGCGGGGCAGGCCCTGTTCTTGGTCGTGCATGTTGGGTCGTAACATACACAGGTATGCGGCGCGCGGCCATGTATCTGCCTAACATACTGGCAGCAATGGATTGTAGTAGAATCCGATAAGGTTTTTTTTGAAATAAAATGAACGTTATAGATATATATCGAAAGCTAGTAGTTAGACGAGCTAAGATATTATTTTATTATAAACCTAGCATTTATCTTTATATTTATAAATTTATTGACACAGTCTCTTTGGCAGAGCCGTCTCTGTCAGAGGGGGTAAGACTGTGGCCTGACCGTGTAGGTACGGGCAGGAGAGTGCGAAATGAGCAAAGCGAAAGAGCAAAGCGAAAGAGCAAGTGAACGTCAATGGTAGGTCATGGGTGATGTGTATCTTCAAGGTTGACCCCCTTATGTGGAGGGTCACGGTCAGACCGTCTTAAGTACAGAGGCCACGCTTATCACGTGACCGTAGCACCAAGTGTGCTGATAGGAAATGTCACATTTATAATTAACGATTTAATAGGGTAAAGATGGCTTATATATAGCTATATTAATGATCGGTAGGGTAGTGTTACGACCCAACATGCACGACCAAGAACAGGGCCTGCCCCGCAGGCTTACGACGGTTACGATACGCCATACATGCACAGGACAAGGGGACACAAGGCACCCTCTCACGGAACGGAAGAACTATGGTACAAGTCACGTGATGATAAGATAAGGATCATTTGGGATCAATATGATCCAACACGACTTGGGGGCTAAACGATCATTCTGGATCAGAATGACCCAAGACGACCCAAGGGACAAGGGACATGTTCAGGATCAGGACTTGTATATAAGGATGGACTTGAGCTGGACTCTAGGACAGACTTCCATAGCTCTTCAGCAATTAACTTCGTATCAGGATTAACATCCGCTTTCAGCTACTACCTTGACAAGACTACGATTGATCACCGAAGCCTTACTGTTGGATTCACAGGTGGAAAAGGAAAATACTCGAGTATCGTGGGTAGCAACGATCACCGACTGTAGTGGTGATATTGCTTGTTCTTGTTGTTCTTCAGTGGAAGTCTAACCAGGTGCCAGCGGCGGCAGGAAGTCTGGGGTATACCACCCTCGTGTGGCTGAGCCACACGGACCACCGTGGCTGGAACGGACCGCGGCAGCAACCTCCTGCTGCCTAATGTAGGCCTATTCCAACACTTACCTTATCTTACGATTGACAGACATAGCTTCCTTGAAACTATTCCACGACTACGATTACTGTTACCAGTTCCGCAGCCTCAACTTCTGCAAACTACCCCTACGACTAGCTGGCCGTAACAGTGTAGCGTATAGCTGTCGTGGATTATCGTGATCATATTGTTGTCTATGTTGCGTTCTCTCCTTCCAGATGCAGCCAGGAATATCCCTCATCTGAGGCACCTGGATTCCTGCATTTTCATTGGTTGGTCTCACCCAGATTATTATGGGTTCAGATTGCTCGTTCTGGTCCGAGCATACCCGCCCAATTCCACTTCCGCACTTCAACAATAGCAGCTTTAAGACACAAGTCGCTGGCTGGCCGTTAATGCCGAGTCCAAACATCTCAGGGTCGACAGATTAGAATGGCTGCGAAGCGACGAGTGATGCATCCTTGACATGTGGACGACGAGCGTGGTCTTGATTGCCCACTGTTTCCACAGTCGCTTCAGCCACGGGCGTGACGGTGTCCCAGCGCCACTCTTACCTCCGGCGAGGCGGCGCCCACATTCGGCGCCATTAATCCCGGAGAGATGGATCTACGGAAGTATAAGCTGTATACGGATAATTGACTTTTGTATACGGAGTACGGAGTACGGACACTCCCGGAAGCTTGTAGGTAGTAAGAATCCGCTGCGCGGTTTAAGCACATTCTGGCAAGCTTTTCGAGCTTACTAAGGTGGCTGAGAGCGCCACAGAGGGCCAGACACAAGTGGCTAATTAGCCCAACACAGTCAGCCAATCGAACACCTTCTCGTGGAGGTTACTACCTTAGTGGACTCATTCGCGGAACAACGATCTACCGCATACTGCCCACCGCGCACCCGCTGCTAGGCTGCCTCGTGAATTCCAGCTTTCTCCGCTTCTGACCCTCGACACATCGCCGCCTCGACTGCCACCAAATCTACCTTCAACGTCATCCCCTCCTCTCCAGCCAGTATCTCTGCTGCACGTTCCTACCTAAGAGACCTATCTTCATCGTTCCGACCGTTCACTTGCTGGCGCCACTCACTGTGCGAGGAGGACCGGGTTCCCGTCAGAACCAATTCAATGCGATAGCATTCACGGCTTCGCGCCTGAGTTCGTGACTAGACGCCCCGGTCATTCTACTGTTCGCACAGTAGCTACCCATGCACTTTGAGCAGGTTCGGGATCTTGCTGGGTACGTCTCGTCTAGTTGGGCGGCGCGAAGGACTCGCTGTGAAGGGCAGAAAAGGACGATGGAAGCATAACCGTAAGTACAAGCCCTTCTGCGTGCAGTCGGCTACGGCCCTCCATGTCTAAACCTAGACGACCGACCGAAAACGACTTCGACATGCCGACCTCCGACTTGGACGATTTCGACTTTGATGCCCCCGAAGTCATTGCGGTTCGTGAAGATGAGGGACAATCGCCTGAAGTGATTCAGCAGTGCTTTCAACTGCGCGTCCGATATGCTTCCGTTGGCTTCGTCTCTTTTCGTCTTTTGCCAGTCCCTAACAGCATGACAACAAAAACCACGGCTTGGCTACAGATCAGAGCGAACTGCATAGAGTCGTTGGACAAAATGCTTTATGACAAAGCCAACACCGACAGCCCAAGCCCACCTTACCTCGAAGCTGTCCGCCGGCGACTCAATGGCATGCAATCGGTAACCCGTCTTCAATTCCAGTTGCACAGGGACGGTCACATCGACCTAGTCACACCAGTCGATTCCGATGCCGAAGACATACTTGGCGAACCTGTCTCGAAAACAGGGGCACCACTCATGTCCCTTGCGACAGCTTCGCGCTTTTCCATGTACTTTCGACACGACATCCTGCGGCGGAAAACGTTCCTCAAGTATAAGAGGGCCATTCGAGACTTTCCCCATTTGACAGAAAACGAGAAGAATGCGTATGAGTGCATGGTAGACGTGCGTAGGCTGTATCATGGCGCTGGCGGCCAGGTGCACAGGCCTCATGGCCATCGTGACTCTCCGTCCACCAAGGAACTTCGCAGCTCCCCCGCTCCAGCCACGCCTGCATCGTGCGGAAGCACACTCCCCTTTGAGGATGTGCCACAAGATCGAAGTTTACCCCCGCCGTACGACGAATGCTTGAGTGAGGGACGGTCGCCGAAGATCAGGTCAGACGCCGCACCCATCGTCGCCGAATGGTCCAGATGCAACTGCGAACGCGACCGTGACTGCGACCCGCAGGAGTATGGCGAGACCGAACGGCGGAATACTGCGCTGGAATCCTCACAAGGTGTCTTGCCCTTCGGAGACGCAGATATCCACACAAAACGCATCCAAAGAAAACGTTCAGGAACCACCGTTTGCACCACAACGTCTCCAAAAGATGCTCCTCGCCCGGATAAATTGCAACGAACGCTGTTCGCCGATTTGGACGGTCCACTGATGCGTGCGCTCGAGCGGCAACAACAACAAATCAATGATCTACAACACATAATCAAGGAATCGCAGAAACGTAACGAGGAGCTCGAATTGCGGTGTGATGAGCTGGAGAAGAAATGTAGTGAATTAGAGGATGTTCAATCTGCAAACGTGGAGACCGTCGAGAATCTCGACATTGCGGTTGACGGACTTCAAGCTAGGTGCGATAGTCTAGAGAAGCAAATGCCAGATGTGTGTGATGAGATGGCGGACCTTAAAGAAAAATGGTTAGAGGAGTGTAGAGAGGAACTGGAAGAGAACGAGCGCAAATCAAGTGAGGATAGCAAGGCGAGACAAATACGCGAGGGTGTCGAGGCTGAAGTGAACCAAATTAGAAGGAGGGTTTTGAGAGCCCTTCAACCAACGTCTGCCAACGAAGGAGTCAAAGTAAAGTAACTACCTAGAAGAAATAACACCCCCACGACACTCAAGACTCCCGTTGCCTGGCTATTATTTTTCAATGCTTGTAGAAACCACCCATGAGCACCATTGTTTTCAATTTTGCCGCCTTCGTGCAACCCGTCCTTTACGGCACCCTTTCCAAGCGGGTTGCCAACATTGACTCCTCCCCCTAGGCTGTCCTGGCACTCATCATGAGCATCGAGGTAGGTACCGAATCACGATAGCCACATCGGAAACCGCCCACACCTTCCACTATAGTCAGACAAGCTCCGGAACTCTAGGCTAACATGGCAGGCATTTCTTTTGGTCCAGAACAAAAGGACTCTGCAGACTTCGGGCTCTGCGGTCTGTTACAGTGGGGGGTGTCCCATTCACTCAACTCTAATAGACAGGGATCTCTAACGATGGGATCGAATCACGCATCACGACTAAGCCAGGTAAGACCAAGAAGTACCATTTAAGTGTGACTTGTTATCTTTGAAAAGGTCATGCAGAGAAGGCCCCACAACGGTATGTAAACATATTAGTATCTCGCTGACGGAAGGACAAATAGACTATACCGGGTTATTTTACACTTGACGTTTATATCCCATCGAGTGCCACTTGACGCCATTTTTGCCAAGCCCCAAAATACCCACTATTTACACTTTATTACCCCGCATTCAAAGGGGTACTTAACAATACGTCACTTATCCCTATGCTCTTTTGCCTATTATCACCACTATTACTACCATTTCGATTAATGCTGCGATGTCTTCTAGTGATTCCGATGCTTCTATTACTTCCGTACGCAGTTATATAGTAGTTGAGATCCTTCCAGAAGACCTTACTGCTACCTATAATACAGACTATACGCCAGAACGCTGTGACGCAGCAACAGTCCGGCCCCACGAACCTCCAGCTACCGAGCATGCACCTCCGGGCTCCTTCCGGCCCTTTGACGTACCAAGCCCGGGCCCAAGAAGTACAGCAGCTGCCGGCAAGCCCGCTAGATCTCTTCGTCCAATACGTTCCGCAGAGCCTCGTGGAGCAGTAGGCCCAGTGGTCAGTCCACATCCAAGAGACTGGGGACTCTTTTTATATACCTAGTTCAGACCTTACAGTCGACGAGGCTATGGTCCGATTTACAGGTCGATCTCTTGAGATAACGATGATTCCAAAGAAGCCTATTCCAACTAGCTATAAGATCTGGATCCTTGCCCAGTCTGGCTACTGTATACGGTGGCTGTGGCACGTACATGGAAGGGGCCCATACGCATTAGTCCCTCAGGCGCCTCCCTAGGGCTGCCCTTCATCACCTCCTCGCGGCACGGTCAGGCCACGGGGACTTTAAACAATATCACCAACGCTTTAACCACACAGAAGCACTACTCACCTGCTCCTGTGGATGGGTTAAGGAGGCAGACCATCTAGTCTACTGCCGAAAGACCCTACTGAGGAGGCAACAGTGGCCCACCCTCTACCCCTACAGCCGCCAGGAGCCCGTAGGACCTATAGGGTCCCTCGATCGCTACTTCAAGGGGCTAATCACTGACTCTGAAGGCTTCCAGGCCTTCCTCTGCGTGACAGACTTCTTCCAGAAGATCTGCCCGTGGTACTAGGAGATAGGTCATAACCTATCCTCCAAACGACAAACTACCTCTATTAAGAAACCAGATGGTTATAACGGAACTAGGGCACCAGTGGGAACTAGGGATGGATAGAACACATAGTAGCTCACGAGCAAGATTTGGAGGACGTCAGGATACGGCGTGTACTATATAGTATATCCCATCGGGTGCGGATGGACCCCATTTTCGCCAAGACCAGAATTACCCACTTTTAGTCCAAAAACGCCCATATATAAGCATCTGATTGGGCAAATATTTCTAGATATTTCCAGGCAATGAATCTCATTGGGTTACCCCGCCCTTGGCGAAAATGGGGTCCATCCGCACCCGATGAGATAGCTAGAGCCTGCGACCCTTCACGCCACATACCCTCCGGGAGGTCTGCCGCAAGGGCGGCTGCGCCCTTGCCGCCATGGCGTTAAATAGAACAACAACAACAACAAATTAGTCCCTCAGGCCCAGCCAGCTGAGCTGGCTGGGCTGGCTGCTGGAAACCTGGCTCTATTAACACCAACACAGCAGGTAGTAACTACCCTTGTTTCCCTACTTCCAGCTGCAACCTACCACGTCTTTCTTGACAACCTCTTCGCCTCTATACGGCTCTTTCGTACCCTACGGAAGCAACAGGTTGGAGCTTCTGGTACCTGCCGAAAGGATAGTGGGATAGATAAGATCCTAGTTATTGAGAAAGAGACTGAAGGACGGGGTATCCCCTGGGGTCAAATACACTGTATCCCTACGTTAGATGGGGAGGTAAGCTGTCTGCCCGTCTTTCCTAGCCCAGCCCAGCCCAGCCAGCCTATCTAACTAGTGAATAGGTCAACCAGTTCACCTGGAAGGACAAAGCCCTTGTACTCTTCCTAGCAACTGTCTTCAAGAGCAGCCAATAGGTTATTCGCAGCCGCCGCCGCCCAGCTGGGGACACTGCTGCTAAGAAGGCTGCCCGGCAGGTGTTCGGCCCAGACGTCCGCAAAGACCTTCCGGTACCTAAGGCAATCGATGAATATAACCACAAGATGAACGGGGTTGATGTTAGTGACCAGATGAGGTCCTACTATCAATATAACCACCCTATTCGCCGAGGGGGCTGGCAGTCAATTGCCAGGAATTTCCTGCTGGAAGTGGTAGTTGTGAATAGCTTCCTACTACAGCTCTGGGGCAAGCCTAGGTGGCAGAAGGTTAAAACCCACTATCAATGGCGGCAACTGCTTGCTGCCCAGCTTATCCAGCAGTTTGGCCCGTTAGCAGGCGGGCGAAGACTATCACGACCTAGACGGGCTACAGACAAGAGGAATACCTCTATTTCATGGGAGCAGCATAGAAAGGGGTCACGAAAGGTATCTTCACCTTGTACATATTGTGGAAGTAGGAGGGCTCTATGCGAGGTATCTGGGAATACCCTCATGCGGCGAAGACGGCAGACAACTCGAAAGGGCTGCTTAGACTGTGATGTACCGTTATGTATCGATAGGAATTGCTGGTACCTCTGGCATACGCAGAATATATAGGCAATAGAGGTACTATAACCCTATTGGTTAACTTAATAGAGTCTCAACACCTTATTGGCTCTACCCCGCCCTTGGCAAAAGTGCTGTCCATCAGCACCCGATGGGATACCCCAGACTTCCTGCCGCCGCTGGCACCAGGTTAGACTTCCACTAAACAACAACAAGAACAAGCAATATCACCACTACAGTCGGTGATCGTTGCTACCCACGATACTCGAGTATTTTCCTTTTCCACCTGTGAATCCAACAGATTCTATACTTGGTCATTATGTTGCGTAACAACATAAACCACTTTGAAATAACCTCTGGGTCTTCTTGAAGAGCCCTTTGATAATCGTATGGACGATTAAACTTTGTTTTCAGAGCAGGCTGTGAGTCCATAAACCGCCTGGCCCATCGCTTGCCAACAGGCTCGGCATTACGCGCTCGCAGTAGGAGATTGGCCATACCTTCCACACCGCCAAGGCGCAAAGGAAATCCTCTGGAATCCTGTTCAATAACGTATTGGAGAAGTGTTTTCTCTTCGATCGGGTCGAGTTTATGTCGTTGGGGTTGAGTTTGTTCGCGTCGCGGTCGGTTATTTATGTACTGTTATTGTTTTCGATGGAGAAATGCGTGTTGTGATGATGTAGGTGGCACGATGGCGGTTGGGTGGCCCACTCGCTTATTATGTACGTTAGTTATAATGATATAGTTATTAAATAAAGAAGCTGGTATAATTCTAGTAGTTTAAGCTATCGAAAAAATACTAAATTTGAGTATTAAAGGTGTAGCTCGGATCTACTTAGTGCTATTTTTAAGTTTATACGCCCGTATTAATGGAAGAACTTCGCGACTTGAAACCGTACTAAACTTATGGAATTTGACGTTGCTCGAAGAGGATATGCTAGTTGAGTATATTCTCGACCTAGATTCCCGATTATTCCCTCCTCGGATTAGTAGTGTAGAAGAAATGGCTAATTGATTGTGTCAGTCCCATCCCAGTACACTCGTTACAACGATTGTCACACTATGCCTATGAAACAATATGGTCTTACACAAGCATGACTAAGTTTGCCAAGGATATGCCAGTATAAAGGTGTTACAACCCAACATGCATGACCAAGAACAGGGCCTGCCCCGCAGGCTCGCGGCGGTTATAATACACCACATATGCAGGAGATAAGGGACACTAGGCACCCTCTCACGGAACGGAAGAACTATGGTACAAGTCACGTGATGATAAGATAAGGCATGAGCGACCATGGTGGGGCCATGAGCGCTCATGCCAAGTAATGAGCGCTCATGCCGAACAATGAGCGCTCATGCCGAACGATGAGCGCTCACCCGATCAGAGGAACTGATCATTGACAAGGGATACGTTCAGGACCAGGACTTGTATATAGGATGGACTCGAGCCGGACTCTAGGACAGACTTTCCATAGCTCTTCAGCAATTAACTTCGTATCAGATCTTATGATCGCTTTCAGCTATCTTTCCTAAGAACCTCTTTGATAAGACTACGATTGATCACCGCAGCCTTCCCTTACCTTACGACTTACAGACATAGCTTCCCTGAAGCTATCCACGACTACCATTACTGTTACCAGTTCCGCAGCCTCAACTTCTGCAAACATACCTCACTACGACTAGCTGGCCGTAACAAAAGGGTCTTCCACTCACTATATAGATAGTCGGGATATTCCCATAGCCACTCGTTCTTCATACTCATCAATACATCCCATTGACCCCCTACCTGATAATCGCTGCCCAACAGATTGCTCGCCGACCGCGATGCGCCCCTAGTGTTACGGCCAGCTAGTCGTAGGGGTAGTTTGCAGAAGTTGAGTCTGCGGAACTGGTAACAGTAATCGTAGTCGGGGATAGCTTCAGGGAAGCTATGTCTGTCAATCGTAAGGGTAGGTAAGGCTTCGGTGATCAATCGTAGTCTTGTCAAGGTAGTAGCTGAAAGCGGATGTTAATCCTGA